GGCGTCAGCTGCCAGTAGTCAAGGCATCGGTCTTCGCTCACGCGGGTCGGAATTGCAGAACAAACAGCGGCATCATGCGCACGGGGCACGCGCAGGGGAGGGGGAGGAGAGGCACGGCGGCAGCTGTCAGACACGGGGGACAAGGGTCCACATCGACTTTGCGGTTCAACTGACTCGTAGACGTCCGGTTCGTAATCACGCAGCTGCCGCTGCTGTGCCCCTGCGTGCGTGCCGAGGGCTGGGGGAGGGGAAGGCGGCGGTGCGGCCCTCATCGATCTTGGTTGGTTGCGACACCAGTGAGGTCATCTCGGCAGATCGCCTGTAGCAAAGATGTTGGACGTAATCACTGGGCACTGCTGGCGCAAAGGCGGAGCCGCGGGGAGCTGCCGGCGCTGCGGCGCTACAGTTGCCGACGGCACCTGAAGCACTCTGCCGCACGTCTTGTTCTGCGTTGCGATGTCCGCGGAGAGAAGGCGGTACACGCGCGCGGTGGATGGGCACATCCGACTCCTCTGCACGTTGCCATCCGTTTCCCCACGCCGCCGCTTTGTGGGTGGGTGGGGCAGCGGCCCACAGCCGCCGCGGCGAGGAAGCATGTGAGGGCTCTGCGTGGGGCACAAAGAAGAGGCGTAGTGGAGGAGGCACACCGATGCACGTTGAAGGGAGGGGAGAGCAAGCAGAGACGAGAAGGCGGAGGGGGGCGCAGCGACCCATCGCAGCAATGGGCGTGGGGAGTGAGGTCGCCGCCAAGCAAGGCAGCCACGCCGGCAATCGTGAAGCAAATGCGTGTGCCACCGCCGTGTCTGCGAGGGTCACCGAAAGACGAAGTCGAATGTCCCGCAGACGCAGGTGCCGGCGGGGAGGCGGGCGACGGTGCGGGACGGGTCGTCCGCACGGGCGTCGTCCAGCAGCTCGTTGCTGTACGCGGCCGGGACGCCCTGCGCGTTCGCGACGGTGATGTGTGGGTGAGCGTTTTGGCAGGGGAACTCCCCCTCGTTGCGCACCGCGATCGCCGTCCCCCTCGCGTCCGACACGACGCACGTCAGCGTGAGTTGGATGGGCGTGCCTCGCAGCTCCACCAGCCGCTGCAGCAGCACCGGGTCTCTGCAGCCGCCGCGGCCAACGAACAGCGTCGTCACGTGGAAGGCCGCCTGCACCTCCTTGCCGTCCAGCATCGCCGGCGGCACCAGCGCGAGGAGCCGCTCGGGCGACGCAATCTGAATCGCGGCGTACTCCACGGGGCGGGGGAAAAGGCGCAGAAAAGACTCGCACTCATCCTCCCCAACCGCTGACCTCACTGTTTGCTTCCGTGAGGCACAACGCCAAATGGCACACTTCTTTGGCATAAAACTTTATTCCAAACACAATTCTGGTAAGCACGATTTCACGCCCTCCTAAATTTCAATAACAACAATAAAAAAAGGTACAGGCGCAACCATACTACGCACCTCGCGGCGCCACGACCGCCGGCCGTCAAGTGCGTCTGGGGGGAGGGGAGGGGAGGGGAGGGGCGGGGAGGGGCGGGGGCGTCAGCTGCCAGTAGTCAAGGCATCGGTCCTCGCTCACGCGGGTCGGAATTGCAGAACAAACAGCGGCATCATGCGCACGGAGCACGCACAGGGGAGAGGGGGAGGAGGAGAGTGCAGGGCGAGGAAGAGAAGGAAGAAGAGAAGCAGCCCGTGGGACGCCTCGGCAGCATGTTGAGGCCGCACCATCGACACAAAAC